TTTTTTTTTTGAAACTACAGAATAAAAGTCAAAGTACCATTCTTGGCAGTCGTACTCCGGATTGTTTCAAATTAAAGCTCCTATAGGTTTTAATAGCAATACGTAAACGTTTGTTTCAAATTGTCACAGGTTTGTCCAAAAGCAAAAGGAATAATACACCTTGGCGCTACTTCGTGTTTTGTTCAAGACAACTCTGACCTGATAATTCAGAGAGATGCCATGGACGTGATTATTAAGAAGTGAGTAATCTCTTCCTATTCTTTGCATTACTTGCGTCATTCATTGTTCGCACAAAGGAATAGCACTTTCTGTTTTCTCAACCTTATTTTTAAATGTTCAACCACTGCAACTTAATTTTTTGTTTACTGCTTGAAGGCTGGCATTATGTTTGAAACGCCTAGCAGACTTTTCGGTGGCCAGTGCAGAAGTCGTGACCGTGGGACGTACTCACTACCAGCCAGCATCATTGGTCACTTATGGGAAGAGAGCAGCTTTATGGAGCCAAGACTTGCTCATCGTCTTTAAGGACGTAAAAAAAATTTGGATACTCCTTTTTTGAATCAATGGTTGGTTTTGCATTGGTGATAGCAGATCTTTAGTTAATAAGGCAAAGGGACGAGATGCGTTTTCGTGGTACCAAAGGAGCAACTGGAACACAGGATTCGTTCCTTACGCTTTTTCATGGTGATAGCACAAAAGTATGTTTTTTACTTGTTTTGGTGAGAAGAAAATTACCTCGGTTTTTGAGATCTTTTGACTAATTAGCGACAGTCTTGCTGATCTACTGCGATATAGAATTCTGAGAGCTACTTTTCACCTGTTTATTTACTTTGAATTCAATGTATTTTCAGTAAAATATCTAAAACATTGAAAGAATACAGCAGAGTGCTGGCATTCTATTTGAGGCCTGCTATATTTTTTCATAGAATTTATTGAATGGACTTAAAAGTCCATTATTTAAAAATTATATTTAGGTTCGCATTTAAACAAAAAAATTCTTTAAACTCTACGAAAGCGGGGATTGAAATATTTAAAAATGTTAGTGCTGTTTTTCTTTAAAGCTTAAGTAGAAAGTAGAAAGTGGCACTACAAATTTTTTTGAATGTTTTGTGGAATTCACATTCTCTTATTATGGGTTTACTTGTTTAGGTGGTGGAACTTGATAAGCTCGTAACAGCAAAAGCAGGATTTCGTCATAGGTTTTCAGTAACAGGACAAACATACACCAGATTACAGGTCCCTGAAGATACCACCTTAGTTCCTTGCTAGTTGGGCTTGAACTTTCAGTTTTATAGTTGTGGGTGACTTTGCGAGTTACTTTTGCATTTTTTTAGGACTGTGATGTGTTATATACTCTAGCAAAATTGGGATCAGCTTTAAAAAAAATCTGTTCCGATATTCGCTTGCTGCAGGTAAATGTTTTTCATTACATTTTATAGTGCATAATATTCTCCAATGTAGCTGTGAATACTTGTCTTTTATCGGGACTTAAAATAAGGAGAAGAACATTAGGAACAGAAACAGAAACAAAGAAAAAAAAATAAAGAAAAGTTGCGGACAGTTCTAAAGCGCAGTATAGGAAACTAACGTAAAAGAATGTTATTCATCAGTTTACAAAGGACCGTGATCGAATTGAAACCGTTAACCTTACTTTTAAACATGGGCACTGAGGAGATGACTACATTATGAGGTGTGGCCTTGTGAGTGTTTGTTTTTGTACACAGCGTAAACGCCTCAGTTTTGTTTTTTAATGAGGAACTGTGTTCGTGAACTGTAAGTTTTAGTAAAGGTAAAAAGACAACAGATATATTATTTGTAGGCTTTTGGTGAAATTATGGAACCTTTTGAGAGTGAACAGGTTGGCAGTTCAGCTATGCCGTACAAACGGAACCCGATGAAGAGCGAACGAGTTTGTAGCCTTGCTCGTGAGCTTATTAATGCACCTCAGGTATAAGAATATCTAACTTTGGTTGAAGTGTTTCCTTGAAATTGTATTTTTGATTAGGTTTTTTTCTTAGTTTAGTTACTTCTCAACACTGTGGGTGATCAGGGTTTCGAGCGCACTTTAGATGATTCTGCAGTGCGAAGGATGGTGATTCCTGACTCATTCTTGACTGCAGATGCAATTTTATCTATTTTCCAGGTTGCGCTTATCGGTTTCATCTGTTATTTTTCCTGTTCTGGCTGCAGACAATGTAGTTTTTTTAACTGATGTGTACGAACAAGGGTTAAAAATTGCAGAACATTATCGAAGGTTTAACACTTCAAAAAGAAAATATTGCGATTATTCTTTCGACCGAAATGCCATTTTTATGCCTGGAAAAAGCCCTGATGTGGTTGTGTGAAGAAGGAGCTGACAGGCAGGAAGCACATCATAAAATTCGTGAAGTGGCTCTTGTTGCTAAAGAGGCTCAGAAGAGATCATCTATTACCGTTGAATCCGTTTTGAATGACAAGTTCTTTGACAAGGCACATGTTTCTCGACACTCCTGTTTTTTGTTCGCTTATATTTAGTCATTGTTATTTTTTGGTTCTGACTGTCTTCTCGTAGGAAGTAAGGATAACTTTTCTGAATTTAGGTTCGAGACAGAGTTTTGGAACTGTCTAAAAATCCTCTCTTATTTACTGGTCGTTGTGGTGAACAAGTCAAGGAATTTCTAAGTGAAGAGTTGTATCCGGTCATTATAAACTACTTGGACGATGCTAAATTAAAAGAACGTATTACTTTGGACGTCTGAAACGATGTTCTCTTCTTTAGGCTTGATGCCGTAGCTTTTTCTAGAATTTTAGAAGGCAGTGGTTTACCACAGTTTTACTTTTTCGTCAGATCTGCAACCGCTTTTGCAGATTCTTTCGAAAATGAAATTTTTAGATCAGTTTGTTTGTGTAGGAGGTAGCAAATCTTTATCGAAATGTTTGTTGACCTTTTTAAATTGTAATAAGTACATACTGGGAAGCAATAAAGAAATCCGTTAGAAGAAACACATGGAAGCGCAGTTTAGTGTGGAGGAACTGGACAATGGAATGCCTAAAACGTCATTTACCATTTATTTCAAAAGAATTGGGGCGCATATAGACGTTCAGTGTGTTTGTGCGTTTTCGTCTCCAATTTTTCATTTTATAATCATTACTGTTGGGTAATGATAAATAGGGTTCCGTCTTAAGTGTGGCAGAAGATTTCTTTACATCTTTTGGTCGTTGTAATTGGGGTTTGTTTCTCAGTGTTGCATTGTGGTCATTAGCAATTTTGAGAGAAAGCATTGCTATAAAACGCTTCATTTGTTAGTCAGTGACCAAGCCCAAAAAAAGTTCCTGTTGCCTCCAACTTTCATGTATTCTTATTTAGAAGACCTCTTTGAAACAGAAGATTTAAGAATAAATGGATGGGTACTACAGAGAGAAAATTAAATTACAATTATTTCGGAAGGTAAAGTTTGCACATAAATTGGGGTACTAGACTGGGAGATTAATTGTCTTGCAGCAAGATGAAATAGGATGATGGAGATACAGCAGTACTCTGTGTCTTTGAAAATCTCTTCAAGGGATAAGTCTATTGATCTAAGCTTTGCTGCCTTCTCAATTGGAAAAAGGCCGGCAATTAAAAAAGTTTGCGAAGTCGATTATTTATATAAGTTGTTTAGTGTCAGTTTTTCATGTTGGAGAGTTCTTAAATAGACGGAAATGCTTAAAAGGCAATTTTTTAACAATTAAGTAACGATATCACTATAAAGTGGACAAGATGTGATACGCGGTAAACCAGAATTTTTTTTGTTATTTTACGAATTCAACAGTTAAAGAAGTCACTTTTTTTGCGTCAGAACCCATGCTTTATATATCCATTATTTTCATTCTCTCGTTTCTTTTCATGGTTGCAAAGCTGTTTTTTCCTCGTTGGTGATGTCTTATACTATAGGAGTTTTCGGTTTAAAAATTTTGCACTAAACTTAATTAATTCATATTACTCAGTTGATATTTGCCATTTCAGAACTACTACTCCCGATCAAAATTTATTTCCTGTTTAGTTAATTGTTTTTTGAATTATTATTATTATTATATTTTTTTTTTGAAAGTTCTTAAAATTTTATTTAAGAAAGTGCTTTAACTGTTCGATTTTGAATGTTAAGCTATGCTGCGGCGTGACATCGCTCACTATAATTAACAGTTTTGAAAGGTAATTAGTTTACTTTTCGTACTGTTTCTTGAAGAAATGCTTAAAGCACTGCTTTAAAAAAAACTGCTTCAGTGTACATAGGTTACGCGTTGATTACTATCCTCTTCAGTTCTGTTAACGATCTTTGGTGCCGATTATTGTACTTCCATTACATCCCATTTTCTAAATTTTTGAATGATTCTTCATGCTCTGTGAGTTTTAAGGTCAGCGTTTTCTTACCAAGTACTCTCCGTTTCATCTGATCCCTGTTAAGGTGTGGGGTTTTACCAATGAAGTGAGAAGGTTTATAAACTCAGAGATGTAAAAGACTGTGGCCAATAGTCAAAATCTGCAATCAGATGCTTCAGAGATAACCGAGTTAAGCAATTGATGTTTTCATTAGTTCGTTACTGTACAACAGAAGTGTTTATCAGTCACTGTCTTATGCCCGACTTTTACCCATCTTTTTATCCATGTTTTCGTTAATCTCATTTCTTTGGCTCCACTTCTTCACTTAGAAACTAAACCCGTCCATTTCTGTTCCCTGATTTTGTTATTTAATTACTCAAAGTTTGAAGCGGTGATAGTTGGAATCCACGACCTGCATAAGGTTTCTAGGTGGAGAGGTTTCGATTTTGCTACGAAAGAACACTTGTCATCTGTTGGTAAGACTGATGCAGGACAAACCTCGCATCACTTCAGTGAAAAAGTAGTACGCGAAATTTTCCAAAAGCTAACTTAAAAAGAACTCTTCCAGAAATTTGATATTTTTAAATTTTCCAAAAGTTCTAGTTTTGTTAGTTTTCCAAAACTGCTTCTTCGAAAGCCCATGCATCTATCTACAGGCCAAGGATAGTCT